GGGGAATGAAAGAGGGATATCCAGAGCCAGGAGCATGAGCTCAGAAGCCAAGCATCCCTCCGTGGGGCTGTAACCGACTCATATCCTTAGGGACTGAGTCCAGTGCAGGGGATAGAGGAGGCTAACACCAGTAGCTGGGCAGCCTGCAAAAAAGTCCATGTGCAGCGTGGTGAAACAAAAGGAAAAAATAAGTAGCACTTTATTTTTTTCTTTTGTTTTCCCACGATCAGACTAACACGGCTACCTCTCCCTCGCTGTTCAACATGTGCAGCATGGGAAGCCTTCTCAGGAGTCTTGCATTTTTCAGGGTTTCTCTTAAAGCCCCAGTTCCTGGTGTCACATGATCACCCAAGGCTCCGCTTTCATCTTTAAGTCCTGCTGTCTGCAAAATTAAACTTGGAAACTTAGTCCCTGAAGGCTCAAAAAACCCAACAACCCAGCAACAAGAGAAGACAACTAAGAATCCCTCACTTTATAATAGTAATTGAGATGTAGCCGTGTTAGGTTGGTCTTGCTGAAACAAAAGGCAGGACTATGCAGCACCTTAAAGACTAACAAGATGGTTTATTAGGTGATGAGCTTATAATGTCTTTTAAAACCCCTATGATTTCCAGAGCCAATCTTGGGGTTTATTACAGCTTCAAATCCCACCACTAACACCATATAACAATCTTGGGGATAAATAACAAGCCCGTGATTGAGAAAGGAATATAACTTTAATTCAACAACAGCACATAGCTTCATGGTGTTCCCAACCCCTGTCTTCAGGGCACATGGCCAAATTCGGACATTCATCATACTGCCCCTTAGCAGGGAGCATCTCTAAATTCCAACCTACAAACATCTCTACAAGCCTCATGAGCACACTGGGCCTGACTCCTGATCTTTCGAACCGTGTCAGTAATGCTGCATGGGGGACACCATTGCGGGGGCTGGCTGGCAGGGGCAGGTGAGGCCCAAAGCCCAGTGGAAGGGGGCGTTCAAAGCCAAAGCCAAGCTTTGTGCCTCAGAGCCAGCTGAGCTGAGCAGAGCAGACAGCCAGGGTGAGTCTCATTGCCAGGGGGCGTGGAATGGAAGCAGACACACTCAAAGCCACAGGATGCCACAGGAAGCCACAGGATGCCAAACCCACATGACGGTCTCCCCCGTGAGAGCCACACTCGCCTCGCTCGCTGCTCCTCCCCACAGGAGGCAGCCCCCCAGCACGTGGGCAAAGTAGCTCGGTGGCCTTGACGTTGCAGGGCAAGGTCCCCATAAGTCATAGCCCTCGCCCCGCCCTAGAAGGTCACATGGACTGCCGTCATCTTGCACAGCTATGCCTTTGGCTCCAAGTCACCGCATGCCAGGATCATGTCTCTCCTGCATGGAGAAGGAAGAGCATTGCAGGCAGGACGTCCTAACAGCCCTTGGCCCTGGATAAGTGACACCACATGTACGAGAGCGCCACCTCCAAAGAGTGACTGTGCAGACTCCACTCACTCCTTGCTAGCAGCAGCCTGGAAAGGCAAAGGGATTAGCAGAAGGCGGGAGCTGTGGATGTGGGAAAGGCAGGGTTACATAAGGGGGAAGGGGCCGTATGGGAGATGACTATGTGTGATGCTAAGGGTTCAGTTCCCAACTCTGGAACCTCAGGTGAGTCATTTAAACTAGCTTTTGTCTCACTTCCCCATCTGTGAAATGGGGCCAATGCAGCTCTGCCTGCTGGGTCTGAGCACACCAACCTGTGCACACTTGATGAGCTCTCAGGATAGACACCTCCACGGCCCGCCTTGGTGGTAACAGCCATACAGTCCCTCAGCCACAGCAGAGACCCCGGCTGGCAGGGTACATGCAGAGAAAGCTTGCCCAGGCCTAGTCACATCGGCTCCCCATCCCTCACGGAAAGAAGGGCAGTTTTCTCAGTGAGGCTTTGCTAAAAGGCCACCACTGCCCAGGCCCCACAGCCCAGGGACTCCCCACAGGGTTGCGGCTCACATGTCAGGCTCCTAGAGGGGGACACAGCCCCTCTCCTCTACGAACATGAGAACAGCTGTACTGGGTCAGACCAAGGTCCATCTAGCCCAGTATCCTGTCTGCCGACAGTGGCCAGCACCAGGTGCCCCAGAGGGGGACCGAAGACAATGATCAAGCGAAGTTGGGCGGAGACACAATTGGGCTGTGGAACTCATTGCCACAAGGCATCTTGGTGGCCATGGGCTTAGGAGGAATCAAAGCCAGGATGGACTAGTTCAAGGGAGAACAATAGTAAGGATTAAACCACCACCAAGGACTGCACAGGTGCCTTCAGGCAGCAGCCAACCCCCATTCATGGGGGTCAGGAAAAAGCTTCATCGGGGGCAGGTTATTCCAGAACTGCCCTCTAGGGAGGTGCTTGCAGGGGCACCTGGAATTGGCCTGTCAGAGGCTGAATTAATCCATCAGGGGCAGGAGGACAACTCTTGGGTCCGAAGCTAACCCAGCAGGCAGGCAGCCTGGGGAGCCAGTGGAGAGCACATTGGGGTGGCACGGGGTGGGGGGAAGGGATCTGGCTTCTAGCCCCACTTTGCCCCTGACCTTTGGGCAAATTGGTTCACTGCCCTGTGCCTCAGTTTCCCCAGCTGCCATATGGGGTAGTGCAAATGACCTTAAGAGCAAGCTAGCTGTTCTTGCAGCAGGACATGTTTCTTCCTTCGAAACCACAGTGAGGCAGAAGGTGAGAGATGGGTAGGGCACCACACTGGGCATGGAGTCCTGCAGCCAGGGCCTAGGTAGGAAGGCCTGAGGGTGCCTATACATCAAGGGACCAGTGGGCTGTTAGCCTCCATTATCCCTGGGAGGAGGCATTAATGCTGCAGTGGGGGCATGGCTGGAGCCAGGAAATGCACTGCCTTTGCTTTGCCTCTAAGATCTCGGCCCACCTTGCAAGGGTTGCACATTCTGTTCAGCACAGACCAGTGTGGATTGGGTTAGGACTAACCCATTAACCAATTAAAGGGGATTTTACACCCCTGGTGCGGGTTGCGCCCTGCAAACACCAGGCTCTTGCTCTTGGAAACTCTTCTGCCACTTTCCTGTTGATTTAAAATCACCTCCCAGCCTGGAGCAGAGCAGGAGAGAGGCAGAAGCAGGCCAGCCATGGCCAAGGCTCCCGGTCAATGGCAAGTCTGGTTATACTAAGACCCCCAAGTTACCCTCTTTCCCACCTCTCCTGGGTGCAGCTTTGCCACGCTCAGGTGGGCTGAGGGTTTGGCTCCTGCCCAGCTGGGCTGGAACCATGTTTAGCGAGTGCGGGGACAGAGGGGCCACAACGTCAGTGAAGAGGAAGATGAAGGGCAGCAGTTGTAGCATTGACTCTCCAGGCTAGTTCCAGGCCACCCTCCTCCCCTCCCAGGGCAGAATCACGAGGCCTGTCCTCAGCAGGGGCTGCAGAAGGCACAGGGAAGGCCCTGTTAATTCAGCTGTTCATGGGGTGAAGTTGCCATTTCACCTCTCTATGGCTAAGCAAACCAAGTGGCCCTGTAGCACTGCCACCGCCTCTGCCACAAGGCACTTCCAATACACTCCTGCACAAAATGCAGCCAGCTCAGGGGTAGAGCATAGTCACCCACCAGCACACAGGGCTCAACATAACGGAGAAGCAGCTGGAAGGAGACACACAGGCCAGAGGGGCAGAACCTTCCCATACTGTACAGTGAAGGTCCCGTTCCCCTTGGCAACAAAGCATTTTGCTCTAAGGTCTCCATGGAAAGAGGCGCAGAGCAATCAGCATAGGCCAGCCCGCCCCTTCCTGGGATGGCAGAGGCGGCTGGGGCAGGGTTTGAGTCAAAGGTTCCAGTGCGCATCTGATGCTGGAGTCAGGCTGCAACCTCCACTGTGTGAATGGAGGTTAGGTCAAGGCTGTGGGGGACCCCAGCTGATGAGAGGTAGCAGCCTGGCCTGGGCAAAGCAGGCTCGGAGCTAGAGAGAAGCCCGGGGGTGCATGTGCCCGGCTATGCAGGCTTCCCAGACCCCAATGCTCCTCCCTCCAGTCGGTCTTCCCCATGACCAGAACACACCAGCCCCGCAGCCCAGGTGCTTTGCCTTCGCCTGCCCCTCCAGCATCGCACCCCATGGAGAAGACAGAGCCAGCTGGCCACAGGCTAGAGCCACCCCCCAATTTCCCCAGCTTTGGTTTTACAATTGTCCCCTCTGACCCAGTTTCCACAACTGCAAGGAGGCGCCTGGGCTGACCCCCGTGCACAGGCGGCTCCCTGGGAACCGGGAACCCCCAGACCCAGAGCTGCTGCCAGCCAGCCAGCCAATGGGCCAGCACTAAAGCCACGGGTAGGAGCCAGGACTTGGCTCCTGGGCTGCCATATGGCCCAGGCCAGACCTGCCAAGCCCGCAGTCACTGCCCACCGCCTGCCCCTGGAGCTGCCCCAGGGGACCCACAGGGCAGCTGGGAACCAGGGGAGCAAGGTGCTGGGCCAGGCCCCATGGCTGCTCAGCCCCTGCCCCACGGCTGCTGTGGAGCCAGACTCAGCGCTCTGCTGCCCCCTGGTGGCCGTAGTGATGGGTCCAGCAGCTGCAACCCCCACTGCTGGGCTCCTTTCCTAGGGTGGGACAGTAACTGACCATTTCCTACAGGCACCTCCTATTGCAGACGGGTCCCTGTGAGCTCTTTAAAGAGCCCCCTGCCGGCTTTAGCCGCAGCTCAACCAGCTCCTCCAGAGCCACACACTAGGGTGCAGCAGGGCACTGGCGCCGCTGGGTGGCAGGGTCCAGTGTCTGCCAACTCCCCGCTGCCCCCCAAAAATGCAAACTCAGGGGAAATAGCAGGCACTGGAGGAGAGTCTCTCCCCTCCCCCCCGCTCTCCCCCAGGGCTCATTGCCAGAGTTTCACTTCCTGCCCGCCCCCACGCAGCTTCCTCGTAGCCAAGGCAGCCAGAGGGGGCCGGGGGAGGAACCCCGGGTGCCTGCTGCCGAGGCCTCCTCCGTTAGCCCTTGCTAACCCCGAGAGAGGCTGAGGCTGGAGATGAGCTGCGGGAGGAGCAGGGAGGATTCAGCAGGTTCAGAGCACAGCCCTGGCCCAAGCTGGCTCCTTAGGGCCTTATTTTCCCAGCTTTTCTAGAGGCCATCTTGGAAACGCCAGGCATGGCCGGGAGGTTGTGGGACCCGTCCCACCCTGCCGCTGCCACAGACACAGGGGAAGGGCGGGGCCTTAAAACAAGGTCAAGTTTTATTTCAAAACAACAGGAGACAGACAAGTGAGACCCTCAGAGAGCACCCCGCTGCGCCCTCACCGTGTCAGCTGGTTACCTTGCGTCCCGCTCCCAGGAGGGGCCCCGTCCCCAGAGCACTGCTAGAGTAAGGAGAGGGCTGAGACCTGGCCCAGCTGACACGTCCTAAAACGAGCTCTGACTTCTGCCAGCGTCCCCAGATCAAGTGCTTGGCTTGGCTGGGCTTTGTGAGGTTGTTGGGGGGAGGGGGGGGGGGTACAGATGCTGGACACACCTAGTTGCAGCACCCCAGCCTCCTTCAGTCTTCCCTGCCCACCTCCAGCCCATTGCAGCAGCCCCAACCCAGGCTGAACTGCAATGGGCCAACAACCCCCCCCCCCAATCAGCTACTTGCCCAGGGGGTGGGGAGAAGCTAGCCCCTCTCCCTTCCCACTCGGAGGGGTCACTTCTGAAAGCCAGCTCCCTGTCAGACAGGTGGCTGGACCCTCAGCTACTCCTCCCGGAGCCCCATTTAGAACCACAGGTCATGAAACCCACCCCCACCATGAACCACCCTGACGTGCTAACAGCTGGACCCATGGGCCAGTGCTTCTGATGGGAGCATACCGGAAGGGATCCAGAGCCCACCCCTCTGGGCTCACTCAGCCCATAGCCATCCTGCCCTAGCTCCAGCTAGGCTGGGAACACATGCCCAGGACTATGTGCACAGCCATCTTTGGGGCCTATGCCAACTGCACGGAGGCAGGCCCAATCCCCTTTGCCACCTGCCTCATTAAAGCCCATGACAGGCTAATGGAGTCACTGCCCTCAGACACATGGTGCCAGACCTGTGGCTTGGTCCAAGCCAGCCCATGTCCCTGATGATCACCTCCCACGCCCCCTGAAATGCTAAAGGAGCCCAAACTGGGGGGACCTACCTGCACCATTTGCAAAGCCAAACCAGCATGAAAGGCCATCAGTGAGCAAAGCCAGGCCAGGCAGCTACAGCCATTGAGACCCACACGCCCCCACAAAGGGCAGGGTCATGTCCTCTGTATGAGGCATACACAGGGGACACCCCTGCCCCAGAGAGCAGACCTCATCCCTTTGCTGGGAGATGGGGGGAGCTTTTAGCTTCTTCCAGCTGCTGTTCCAGTGAGAGCACCGAGATGCGAATCACAAGCACCCAAAATTTCAGAGAGAAGCCAGGAACCTGATCCGCCAGGCGCACACATTTTGAATCCATCTAGTGTTACCCCTGGCTCCCCACAGCTCGGCCAGAGCCAGCCTTTTGGCTCAGAGCGGAGGCTCTTTTGTGTAGGGCTACAAAATGCAAACATTGCTTGGCAAGAGGGCAGCCCCAGAGCATGCTACAGGCTCACCTGGGAATCTCTACCCATCATGGAACCATTGGGAGATCCCCCAGAATATCCCATGCCAGCCCTGCCTTGCTCCTGCACACGTGCAGCTTTCATCGAGAGCAGCTTGGCACACCATGCATTGCCCGTCTCACCCTCTGAGCCCGTGCAGCAGAGCTCCCAGGCCTGTGCCCAGCAGCTGGTCCCTGGACAGGGCTCCAAATGGGCGTGGGCCTGCCGACGCCCTGGTGCAGCAGATGGGAGGGCAGCTTGGGAGAGCAGCCAGGGGCAGAAAGGAGAAACTCCGGGCATGCTGGAGTCTGGCTGGCCTGGCCTAGTGAGTCGAGACACCGTTGTGGGCATCTCTCCGGGTTCTGGTCAGGCCCACGGGCTGAGGGGGCACCTGGCTGGTTATCAGCGAGATCCACTCCTGTCTCTGGGCCCTAGGAGAGATCGGACAGAAGGGGGGGTCAGAGGCTGAGCCCCGTGTCGGGGGAGGGGAGCTTTTCTTATTCTACAAGAGAAACTCCCCAACCCACAACTGCCTTTCACTGTCAGGGTGAGGGAGAGGGCCGGGGCATGTTTGTGGAGTGGCCAAATGGCCATTCTAGAGCCAGCAATTTCTATTATCTCATGGACCTAGCTCCATCCTCCTCTTCCACCCCCTGGCTGTCCACTCAGACCACCAGGCCCCCCCCCACTAAGGGCCTGAGATCACAGGCTGGGGCTGGAACAGGACATTGGTGGGGAGGGCCCTCAGCACTGGAGCCCTTTGCCCAGTTGAGCTGGATGTAATGGGCTCTGGACACCCAGTAGGAGCTGGGTTGGTGGGTCCTCTCAGGCCCCCCCGTGAGCTCTGGCCATGTGTTCCCCTCACTCTGTACCCAGGGCAGTGCGAATACGTCATCCTAGCCCCCACGCACCTGCCGCCCAGCCCCCTCACACACCAGCAGGGCTCAGCCCTCTTGCCAGGTAGAGCGTCTGCAAGCCCCTGACATGCACCTTAAGGCTTCTGCCCAGGTCCCTGGGTGGCTCTTGGAGAATCCAGGCTCCAAACCTCCCTGAATGTTCAACAGCTCATGACTTACCGCTTGGCAGGTGTCCTTCAGAACCCCCTTCTCACCCCAGCCAGCATGCCTTGGGCCTCCCTCAGGCCCTCCACCTCTGCCAGCCAGCCAAGCAGAGGTGATACTGAGTGGGTGCACCCTGGCATGCTGCTCTGGCAAGAGCCGGCTGAGCTATGGTGAAAGCCAGCATGGAGCTATTTAAAGAGCTGGCAGGAACCTGGAGAGCAGTAGGGTGGTACCTGCAGGAACTGTCAAATGACTCACCACTGCAGCCAGGGAACCCCACCCAGAGGGGCCTCACACTCACGTGCTGTCTGCTTTGAGGAGGAACTCCGCAGTGGCCCCGCGGTGGTTGCAGGAGAGACACAGGAGGAAGGCTGTGTTAGGGAGCCCCAGTGGCTCGGCTTTGAGAGGAACCTGGAGAGCAGTAGGGTGGTACCTGCAGGAACTGTCAAATGACTCACCACTGCAGCCAGGGAACCCCACCCAGAGGGGCCTCACACTCACGTGCTGTCTGCTTTGAGGAGGAACTCCGCAGTGGCCCCGCGGTGGTTGCAGGAGAGACACAGGAGGAAGGCTGTGTTAGGGAGCCCCAGTGGCTCGGCTTTGAGCGGCTCTGCTCTCACGTGGCTGGTCTGGGCATAATCCTTGACTGAAAACCTGCCATCGCTGTGAGGAAAGCATGGGGGGGGGGGCATTTGTGGAGCAGAGCCAGGTAACAGCCCCCCTACACTCCCTGCCAATGCCCAGCTCCTGGCTATGCAGCAATGCTCACCCCAACAAGCCGTTAGCATCTGTACCCACAGACAGGGCATCTCCACCTGGGGCCTTCACATCTCACCCCATTGGAGAGACACGGACTCTGCCACCAGCCACCCCACCCTGTCCCACTGTCTGCCCCATCTCCCAGGGCTGGAGACAATGCAACCTCAGATGCCACCAGGACCCACTCTGGCACTGGAGGGGAACGGCAGGTGGGCACCCTACCAGCGGTGGCCACAGGAGGAGCAGGCTGGTGTACCTCCCATCCCAGGAAGTTTTGGGGCCCCAGCCAGAGCAGCAAGGCCCCCAGGCTGCGAAGGGTAGACCCAGGTGCCATGCAGACTTACTCCCTCCGGCGGGACAACAGCAGCAGGTCGCTGAAGAGGTGCAGGTGGATGGGCTTGGTGCTCAGGCGGGGTCTGGACCCCACACCCACCTCTTGGATGAGGATCTGGGAGAAATTCCCTGCCCTGACGAGCCAGCGGCCCCGACTGATGAGCGGGATGGACTGGAGGGAGAGACACACAGGGCTCACCAATGGCTCCTGGCTCAGTCAGTCGCTGCACTGCCCCACCCCAATGGGCCGCAGGCCTGGACACAGGCATTTCTGTTCGGGGGGATGCTATTTAGTAAATGTGAACTGCAAGGGAGTGAACACACCTCCCCGTGGGCCCCCGAGTAAGCGTGCTCCGGCTGGCTGGGAGAAGGCTGGGGCTGATTCCCCCCCCCGCCAGGAGCAAGGCCCAGCCCCAACCCCGGATCAGGGAGGAGAAACCAGCCCCAGCCTTCCCCCAGCGAGCCGGAGCATGCTTACTTGGGGAACCAGACGGGGTGCATTCACACCCTTTGCACCACCCCCACGTGTGACCCTGGGCAGATGAGCCAGTCTGAGCGTGCGCCAGCCCCCCTACGGGATCCCTGAGGGGCACAGCTTGCAATGCATCCAAGAAGTCCCACGGGGCGCTCAGCCATGCAAGCTATGATCCTGGCACCACGCGCTCACTGGGTGACATGCATCTTTGTCCCCTATGCCAGCCACCTTGGCATCCCAGCCCTCTAGTCCCAGTCCCCCCTCCATCCAACCCTCCCCTTATGTGACCCTCAAGCCTCCCTGCCCATGGGGCTGTGCCATCAGGAGCCACTGTGGCTCAGGGCCAAGCCTCACCTTCGTCTTCACGAACTCGACTTGCTTCTCTAGCAGCACCAGCTCCTCTGTCTGCTTCATGCGCCGCACGTTCTCATTGCACTCGGACACAATCTGAAAGGGCAAGGGACATTGCGGGCCCAGGGCACTCCCTCCCCCAGTCCCATGGCAAGGGCAGAGATCAGGGAATCCAGGGCTTTTGGTGCACCCTTGGGGATGGAAAAGGTTTTCCAGCTCCTGGACACAGCTGATCTAGTGCATTATGGGACATTTCCCCACCAGAAGGCTAAAAACTGCACCTCTCCATTGCATTTGCCTAGGCTTTGCTCCAGGGGAGAATTGGGGTGGGTCTCTAGCTCACTTGAAAGAGAATCCTCTGAACTGTCATTCATGCTTAAATTTGACACTTTACACCTAAACCTAAACAAAGACATTAATTATCTTACCCATTACAAAGAGCTTCCCCAATTATCACCTCTAATCTCATTAACTCACAGACATTTACCTTTCCTCCCCCCCCATCCTCCTTCTGTTCTGAAATGTGATTTGTCCTTTTCATGTGTGTTCATTTTTTTAATTGTATCCTTTGGTATATATGGTTGTGACTACTTTCTTCCACTATTTGATCTGAGGAAGTGGGTCTGGCCCACGAAAGCTCATCACCTAATAAACCATCTTGTTAGTCTTTAAAGTGCTACATTGTCCTGGTTTTTTATTTCATACAGTAGAACATCAGTGTTCTTGCGCAAATACTCGCAGCCAGTGTAGACAGGTGGCAATTGCTTTTGCGCAAAATCTTGCCAATGTAGACACAGCTAGGCTGTTTAATGTTATTGACAAAGGCCCAAGGCACAGGTGGGAGAAGAGCACTCAGTAAACCAGGACTACTCAACTTTGGAAGCCCCGGGGGCCGCAACTTAAATGTGGTTGCATATACATGCAAATATATGTGCAAATAGCTTTCACAATGCCTCAGTGCTCCCAGCAGCTCCTTCCTGGCAGCTAGAAACGCCAACACCCTGTACCCGTATGTTTCAGCCAGCCGGTCTGCTTGCATCTTTCAGTGCTCACCCTGCCTAGGAGACGCCTTGCCGTTGTGGAGTGTGTTCCTTGTGCAGGCTGTGTTTAAAGAAGCCCACCCGTGGGCCGTGTGCTGAGCCCTGCCTAAAGCCAAATCACCCTGTGGGCCACAAATGTGTCATGGGCTGCATGCGGCCCACGGGCCACAAATTGAGTAGCCCAGCAGTAAACATTCAACCCATACCCTCAATGAATGTCAGAAGCAGCTCCAATTCACTCCCACATCCTCCCTGGAGGCCTCCAGCGAAGTCAGGGAAGGGAAGGGAAGGGAAGGTGGATATTACCAAGCTATCCTTGAGAACCCTTTTCCAGGGGTCCCAGCAGCGTACGATGGCCCAAACCCATTTTGTTCCCCTCTTGCTGTCACCTTTCGGGCTTCCCAGAGCTGAGGATTGCCGACTCTGGGTGTTCTGTGTTTTGGCCTCCCTCGGGCAAGGAAACCTTTTAACCAAGCTCTAAGAACCCAGAAGCACAATCGCTCTGGGGACATGGAGGTCCCCGGGACCATCCCAGAAAGGCCACACAGCGTGCAGCCGGACAGCTGAGCATGCTCAGGTCAGACTGGGGGTGGAGGTTCGCCAACAGAGGCCCCCCAAAGCCAGAGGATTTGCAAGCACCAAGGACAGCGGGTCACTGAGTGACTGGAGCGGCCCTGGCAGAGGCCAGCAGGGTGCAGTCCACACAGTAAGTGCTCAGGGGCTGAGTCCACACCAGGGGAAGCAAGCAGAGACCCAGGAAGAACCTGTTATCAGAACCTTCTACCACATCTGCTGGCCCGTGAGCTTGGCCCGTCTCCGCACACTACTTCCCCCGTGACATTGCTTCTGCGGGGACGGCAGGTAGCACAAGGGCTGCTACAACATGGAGACCAGCATGGCCAGCCTGGGTGCCTTCTGCAAGCACCCAGGGGTGACCTTACCTCTCCCACTGCCCTCAGGGCTGCACTGATGGAACCGGCCAGCTCGGAGCCCACTAGGGCCAGCTTCAGGATGTTCTGTGGGGCAGAGGGGAGAGCAGGGGGGGATCAGTCATGGGGAGATACCAGGTCCCCATACCCCTCTGCCAGACTCCTCCCCCTTTCTCTGCCATCCCTCCCACTCTCACCATTCCCTCTGGCATTGCCTCCTCAAGCCACCTTGCTCACCCCAGCTACAGCTCAGAGGATGCTGGCCAAGGCAGCTTGTGACCCTCTGAGGCAGGATCCCTAGCAGGCCAGCTCCAGCCAAACCCCCAAGGGAGACTTCAGCCCTGGCTTCAACACCTCACCTCCAGCAGGATCTTCAGGCGGGTGATCCTCTGGAAGGGCAGCACCAGGAAGGATTTCAGGGGCTGCCGTTGGCACACCGGCTGCTCCTCCAACTTCCTCAGGACCTGCCGGAAGCGCCAATTCTCCCGCCTGCAGCGTGTGGTACAGAGGGGGCGAATGAGGAGCCCTGGGGCCCAGAATCACCCTAAATTCATGGCCCAGAATTACAGGGCAAACCCTGCTCAGAGACCCTGGATGTTCCAGCCCAGCAGTCATGCACTGAACAGGGCACACCAGGCCTGATGATGGAATTTCCCTAGCAGCAGGATATGGGAGGGGCTGAGGGCTACTTCTCTGGGGCGAGGGGGGAGTTAAGGATATCCTTCCTCTTCTAAGATGGGAAGATACAAAACGTAAACACAGATACAAATCTAGTGCTGCCCTAGCCCAGGAGCCAGCCAGTGAAATCTAGTCTTGAGCCCAGGAATGGCCTCACCTGTCCAATCTCCCTCTGCTCCCCATTAACCGCTTGTGCACCCCATAGGCCAAGAGCCAAGCAGCTGCTAGCCTTTCCGGTCCCCAAGAGAAACTGCAACTGGGAATATGTCCTGATGGAGTGGGGAAGCAGGAAGGGGAATGGAGTCTGCTATCCTCAGTCAAAAAAAAAAAGTGTTAACTCTGAAGAATGACGACAGCCACTTAGTGTAACATTTGGGGACCATTTTCAGCAGAAACATGTCTCCAAAATGGAGTAGTTGGATAGGATGGAGCCCTGGCGAGTTATGGAATCCTCCCCAAGGGACATTGCAGGGATCCACTCCTCTGGGCTGTGTCCAGTCTAGCTCCAAACAGCCCCCGTGTCCCCAAGGGGGTGCCCTGCACACACTCGGCTCTCGCTGCACGAAGATTCCTAGGTGCAGCTCCACCGAGCCCACCGAGAGGAGCCACCAGGGAAGGGTCAGACTGGCTGTTCCAAAGGGGGGGGGGGCAGCCCGAGCCCTGGCTCCTCACATCAGTTGCTGCATGAGCTGCGCCTGGTACATCTGGTTGGTGACGTAGGGGACGTAGACTCGGTGGAAAGCGGGGCAGTGTTTCAGAGCCACTGTCCCCAGCCCTGCCAGGAAGACGTCCTTGTCCATCTGCTCCTCCAGCTCCAGGAGAAACCTGCGGAGACCAGGATTCGCGGGAAGCATCCCACTGCTGGGCAAGACTCAGGCTGGAAAAACCAATGATTGTGCCTGCTGTCCACAGCGCCCCCTGCTGGGCAAGGCCAGGGCTGGAGTAGCTGGGAGCTGCCCCCTCAGCCAATGCTTCTATCCCACTCCCCACAACGCCCCCTGCTGGGCAAGGCTGGGGCCCATAGTTGGGGGGTGCTCCCCGCCAGCTGCAGTTACCTTTCACTGACATCCCTCACTTGCTGCAGATTGGAGAAGAGCCGGTGCACCTCAGCCCTGGTCAGTGTCTCCTGCAGGACCAGCGAACCCTTGAAGTGGCTTGTGGCCACTGAGAGACTGCGCAGGTAGGAGGCCTCCGAGGTGATCACCTCAAACAGGGCCTGGCATGGAGAGCGCGTGTCAAAGGCCAGGGATGAGCAAGCCAGCACAACAGGGCGTGGGGCTCCCCACAAAGGGCACTGTAGCACCTGCAGCCAGAGGGCTCCAGGCCAGCTGTTTAAAGGGACTTAGGTGCCTCCCTGAAAAGAGGGGCAATCAGGCACCTAAATCATTTTGCAAATGCAAAGTACCCAAGATGGGCAAGAGCACAGGCATAGGGGCAGGTGGATGGCTGCCTGGGCACCTCTACCACCCCTAGGGTGGTGCTGGCATACAGGGGCCCACCTACAGGAGGCACTTCTCTTCCATTACAGGCCAAGAGGAATCCCCTTCTAACTGCTGGGCACTGGCACGGAGCACAACGCTGGAGTCCAGCTCAGCCCTGCAGCTTAATCAACTGACAGAGGCACAGACACGCAAGAACAGCCAGATTGGATCAAGCCAAAGACCCATCCAGCCCAGCGTCCGGTCTGCCGACAGCAGCCAATGCCAGGTGCCCCAGAGGGAGTGGACAGAATAAGGAATCAGCCAGCAATCCCTCCCATCGCCCATTCCCAGCCCCTGGCAAGAGGCGGCCAAGGACTCCCTCCCTGCGCAGCCTGGCTAGTAGCCGGGAATGGACTGTCCTCCAAGAACTGTGTGCTAGGAGACCAGGTCGATCAGCCCTTCTGAGAAATCACTGATCCAGGCTCCCCATGGGGCATCGATTTCTATCACAGCATCATGTGGAAGGGAACTGCCGGGTGCCAAGGGCAGAGGCAGGGCAGGTGAAAGGAAGCCATGGTAAACAGGGGTGCCAGGCTGCCACAGACCACAGGGACCTGGGCATCCAGAGCAAGCCACGGGACCAGTTCCCCGCTCCACGTTGAGAGAGAGCCTCCATCTCCATGGTCCACTCAGCCCCTGCCTCTTCCAAGGCTGCCAGGTGCCAGCTGACCCCCACCAGGTGGGCAGAGTTTGTCCAGGATAGACTCAGTCGCAGCACTGCCCCATGGCCCCTTCTGCGTTTCCTAGGGCAGGAAGCAGAATGCAGCTCCCTCCCCCCCCACCGCCGCCTGCAAGATCAGCCCCTCCCAGTACCTCCTGCAGGTGGTGCTGCTGGGGCGTGAGACCCTCCAGAAGTCGCTGGCTCTTCACCTCCGGGATCTCTTGCCAGAAGCAGAAGCTGTAGTCACGGGGAGAGCCCTGCGAGGCAGCGTCAAGCAGGGAGGATGAGAGAAGGCCAGCGATGGACAGGCTGGCATCCACCCGGAAGGACAGCTCCTTGGGCTTGCGCTCTGCTGCCTTGAGGCGCTTCACCCAGTAGTCTTGGTAGAGAGGCTCTGGGCAGGAGTGAAATTAGCCTCAGGGACCTGCCCAGGAAAGCCAGCTGGGCCTCCCAGAGGGCTTCATTAACACTACAGACATTTAATGATGAAGACACTCCCAGGCCCAGTCACAGGACCTGCCTGCTCCACACCCATCCCTGAACACTGGGAAACCCTCTCCTGTGTTTAGTGGCTGCCTTAGCCTTTTCTGGGCCCGGCACAGCATCCATGTTGCCTGCCAATGCTCATCGGTAGCCCTCTCCGAGTTCCTGCATGCCACCTTCACCAGTCACAGAGGGAGAACCGAGGCCACCAGAGTCAGAATCATAGACCACTAGGACTGGAAGGGACCTTGAGAGTCATCGACTCCAGTCCCTGCCCTCACGGCAGGATCAAGCACCATCTAGACCAGCGTTTCCCAAAGTGTGGCCCGTGGCCCAGTACTGGTCCTTAGAAAAATTATCACGCACAATCTTATTAATTTGTGTGACGGGACAGCAGCACCCCGCACCGCCGAGTGCAGTGGCACAGACGGGATAGCAGCACCCCGCACAGCCGAGTGCAGTGGCACAGACGGGATAGCAGCACCCCGCACAGCCGAGTGCAGTGGCACAGACGGGATAGCAGCACCCCGCACAGCCGAGTGCAGTGGCACAGACGGGATAGCAGCACCCCGCACAGCCGAGTGCAGTGGCACAGACGGGATAGCAGCACCCCGCACAGCCGAGTGCAGTGGCACAGACGGGATAGCAGCACCCCGCACAGCCGAGTGCAGTGGCACAGACGGGATAGCAGCACCCCGCACAGCCGAGTGCAGTGGCACAGACGGGATAGCAGCACCCCGCACAGCCGAGTGCAGTGGCACAGACGGGATAGCAGCACCCCGCACAGCCGAGTGCAGTGGCACAGACGGGATAGCAGCACCCCGCACAGCCGAGTGCAGTGGCACAGACGGGATAGCAGCACCCCGCACAGCCGAGTGCAGTGGCACAGACGGGATAGCAGCACCCCGCACAGCCGAGTGCAGTGGCACAGATGGGAATGCAGCACCCCGCAAGCAGCACCCCGCACCGCCGAGTGCGGTGGCACAGACGGGACAGCAGCACCCCGCACCGCCGAGTGCGGTGGCACAGACGGGACAGCAGCACCCCGCACCGCCGAGTGCGGTGGCACAGACGGGACAGCAGCACCCCGCACCGCCGAGTGCGGTGGCACAGACGGGACAGCAGCACCCCGCACCGCCGAGTGCGGTGGCACAGACGGGACAGCAGCACCCCGCACCGCCGAGTGCGGTGGCACAGACGGGACAGCAGCACCCCGCACCGCCGAGTGCGGTGGCACAGACGGGACAGCAGCACCCCGCACCGCCGAGTGCGGTGGCACAGACGGGACAGCAGCACCCCGCACCGCCGAGTGCGGTGGCACAGACGGGACAGCAGCACCCCGCACCGCCGAGTGCGGTGGCACAGACGGGACAGCAGCACCCCGCACCGCCGAGTGCGGTGGCACAGACGGGACAGCAGCACCCCGCACCGCCGAGTGCGGTGGCACAGACGGGACAGCAGCACCCCGCACCGCCGAGTGCGGTGGCACAGACGGGACAGCAGCACCCCGCACCGCCGAGTGCGGTGGCACAGACGGGACAGCAGCACCCCGCACCGCCGAGTGCGGTGGCACAGACGGGACAGCAGCACCCCGCACCGCCGAGTGCGGTGGCACAGACGGGACAGCAGCACCCCGCACCGCCGAGTGCGGTGGCACAGACGGGATAGCAGCACCCCGCACCGCCGAGTGCAGTGGCACAGCCTTCTTGGGAGAGAGCCCGCCGCTGCAGCATCTCTGCCAGGCATGCTCCCGGGTGGCAGGGCTTGATCCGGCGGGCACTAGGACCCAGAGAGAAGGCCAGGCGCCGTGCACACCGACGCAAAACGTTTCCATGCACAAGCCTGCTGCCTGATTTACAGAATAAATATTTTTAAACTATCTTGTGGACATGACCATAATAGTTCCAGCCTCGGAGATGCCTTTAAAAACATGTAGCCTCCTTCTAGCCCACAGTCTCCAATTTCTCCATTGTCTCCCTCCCTTTTCTCACATGCTGAACTATGCGATCATCTGAGTCTCTTCCAGCCAGCCCCCCAAGAACTGCTGCCTCTCATTGGAATCACCTTTCAGGTTTTATTGAGAGCTTCTGTCTTGCCCCTAAACACTCATCTGTGGACACTTTTCTAACTGCAACTTTGAAAACCCTGGATGGGGTTCCCACCAGATCAAACACAGCGGATGGGCAGGTCCCAGTCATGGCAGGCATGGTGCAAGGGGAAGCGCAGGATCAGCAGCTCCTCACTGACATGGTGACCAAGTGTGTGTGGGGCAGGACGGGGTGTGACAAGAGGCTCAAGGCGGCTGCTGCAGACTGCAAGCACGAAGAACAAGGTGGAGCGGAAAGCCTTGCCTGAGGTGTAGGGACACGGATAGGCCCCCCCATGAGAGCCTGCTGCATCCCACATTGCACAGGGGTTTGAGAGGGCTGCAGATTACCTGGGAGGTGGCCACAGACCACTAATGGGCCAAGGACCGCACTTTGAAAGCCACTGCCCTAAGGGAACAACCCAAACTGGAAAGCACAAGAGTGGCGTCCCCAGGAGAAAGCACAGAGTGGAGGCTTCTACTCTGCAGGTCGAGAGAGGCCTGAAACCCAGCACACAGTGGACGAAGATGATGGTTTTGCAACAGAAGTCAGTAGGCTCGTAGGGACTCTGTTCCCACTTCCTGGCTGGGGCCGAGCTGGCTGAAGTGACGCTCTGTGGCCCACCTAAGGCATGGTCATGACGACAGCCTCTGTAAATTCTTCTAGGAATGTCCCTCCATCCCACCATGCCGGAGAACCTGTAGCCAGTGCACAGGGAGCAGGTCAGTACTCACGGGTTTGCATGTATTTAGACTCCCTCTGCCACTTGTCCGTGTCCTTCGCTCCTTTCCCCAGTGGGCGGCGGAACAGCCTAAAAAGCAGCGAAGGGAACCTTTTAAACCAGGTTGGGAGAGTCCCGGACCATTGAAACATGAACTTCTCCCATAGTGCCTCCTGCTGGGCTTTGTCACTCCTTTATGTCTTTGTGCAACTCAAACCCTCTCTGTGCCAAGGTGCCCAAGTGTAAAATGAACACATCAGAATATGCCAGGTGGATCAGAACCAAGATCCACCCAGCCCACTGTCTTGTCTCCAGCTGCTTCAGAGAGATGCAAGAATCCACAGTAGTAGCATTGGCTAGTTTGCTCCTCAGATTAGGTCTCTTCCTGATTTCCTATAGATAGAGATTCACTTACAACTCTGAAGGGGGAGATGTGTCATCCCTCCAGACTTGTTACCGTTAATCATGGGCATGCTGGATATTCCACAGTCCAGATAAGCATTCAGATCAGTGCTGGATCTTGCAAAACTCTGTGATAAATAGCATCATGTGGCAGTGAGTTCTGCAGTTTAACTGCACTCACTGTCTGATATGGTGTTATCTATCTACTGCACAGAAGACTATGCTTCAACCTTTGTAACATCTAATCTCCCTATATCCCGTGAAGTCAGGAGGTATTCTTATACCCATTTTATAGATGGGAGATAGGCCCAGAGATGCCAAGTGACTTGTCCAAGATCATACTGGAAACTTGTGGCAAAGCAGGGCTGTGAACCCAGCTCTCCTCAGTACTAGGCTACTGCCCAAACAGCTGAGAGATCTTCCTGCTCTGAACAGTATTAGAGAAATAAGGTCTCAGAGCCAAGCCTGAATTACAAGCCCTAGCTCTATCCAAATGTGCCCAAAGTTCCGTATGTGTGGATCATCCTCTTGTAGCAACAGGGCCCAGCGGGACAGGCCAGCTTCAGGACCTGGAAAGCATAGGGGTGAGAACCAGGGGTGCGGGGGGGGGGGGGGGGGGGGGGTGTGAACTGTGCCCGTTGGCAGCTCAGAGCTAGGCCCTTTTCTGGTCGCTGCCAGCCTGGGTTCTAAATTCTTTTATTTCAACCCAAATGATGCTCCTAGGCCTTTGGCGGGAGCAATCCCCGTACAACACAGCACACCAGGTCTGCAGGCACCACAGCTGGGGGACCAGAGAGGACCAGGAAGGTGTTTGCTCTGAACCCTAACGATAGCAAATCAAGCGTCACGTGCTGGAAGCCCCGAAGAACTAGAAGTGCACTCGCATGACAAAGAGGGGCAGTCAGGGGGCAAAGCTTTGCTTGTGGTGGGAACTTGAGGGAGTTATTGGGTCCCCCAATTCAACCCCAGAAGGGAGGTCAGAGCCATACCCCATCCAGAATGATCACTGAGTAGGGCCATCAATATGCCAGATGGTTCAAGGAAAGGAAGCAAGAAACCCTCCCTATGGGCCAGCTGCAGTGCAATTTAGAGACCCTCCCAGACACCGGGCAATGCAGGGAGCTGTCTGGGGAAAGGAGGTTACCTGCGCTCCAGACTTGGCATCTGCAGAACCGTGGCTTTAGCGAGATTTTCCAGGGAGCCATGCAGGACATTCCGCCCTGGGACCGGGATGGGCTGCTTTGTCCTCATTCCCAGCAGGCCAGCAGGGCCTGTTGGCCCTGCAGAGAGAGGGGACTCTGGGCCCAGGCTCTCGAAGGCTGCCAGCTCGGCTGTGGGGGGAGGGGGTTGGCAGTGGAGAGAGGCAGGGCCAGTGCCACCCAGCTGGTCAGTTCCTAGGGAGAGGAGGAGCAACAGGATGAGGATGCTACGGGGCAGATGGGTCGGCCTGGCACCACACTGCACCCAAGCCACGTCGTCAAAACAAGCCTGCCCTGCTCCTCATCGCAGCTGGGCTGAGCTCCCCAGCACCCCAGGGAGCTGCCAGCCTCACGGGGCCCAATCAGAGCCAGATGCTGGCAAAGCAGGCTAGAGAGCTTGGCAACTGCCACTG